ATATTGGATGTACATTTTATTTGCATTTTAAAATTTTATTCAAAAATATTATTTGTTTTATTTTTTTAAAGGGCTAGCTGGAGCATTGTTTGGAATTCAGAAAAACAAAAATTATAATGAAAAATCCTATGCGTAATGAAAGGGTTATAAGAACAGAGAATCAGCACTTTGTGTTCAAAAAGTTCAGCAATTTTCCCAGCTCACTGAATTGTGGGAACTTAGCTTTTCCAGGGGATAAATATGCTATTTTTAACGTTTTTATTATACAATTTGTCACAGGCTGTCTCATGAGAGTATCAACAATCAGTTTCAAACAGAATCCAACCACAAACACTTCTCCACATGTGACTTGGAACATCTGGCCTGCCTGAGGCCCTGTCCACATCAGGAGGGCGCTGGTCTGACTTTGATTCTTACGCTCCTAAATCCTTTGTCCTACTTCCCACACTGGAAATGAGGTAGGGTGAAAACCCTCTTCAGGGGCCAGCCTTCAGCAGGTCTGAGTCCCAGGCTTGATTTTCCCCTCACTTAAGACTGCAGGCCTTTCTGGTGGAGGCATGTGCTGCATTCCAGGGATGTCACCAACTCAATGATTCATGTGGCATTTTCTCTAAGGGGTTGAGATGATAGTTTTGGTCTAGAAAAATTCAGGCATCACCTCCTAGCTGAAGAGATTATAATACCTGCCTTGAGCAGAATGCTTCAAGCAGGAGGTGTGAATTCTCAAGAGGTACATGGCTGCTGTGTTGATTACACCTTCACGTAAAGAAGAAAAAGCTCACAATTGGAAAAATGGAAAAGAAAATGTGCTCATTCAGTCAGGGGTGCTAAAGCAATGAAAGATTTCAAAAGATGGTGATCTAGTGGGACGGGAGAGTTATGCACAGGGAGCCCAGGAGTCTCACTTCCCCTTTAAGCAGTAACAGTCTTTCTGAAAAGTGAGAAACTCAATGTTAAAAGTCCACTGATGTTGTTGGCTACTCAATAAGCCCCCTGGCAAGTTCTTTCCTAAAGAGAAGAAATCTTTAATGAAATGAAACTATCCTTAAATTATGTTTTCCAAGTACAGGTCTCCATACCAATTTTTCTTTAAATAAAGGGCACATGTGGAAGATTCTAGTTCATACAAGAGCTGGGTCTTCCGAATAGCATGACTTTTCAAGTAAATGCTTGCCTGATACGTGGGCTCACCCACATTCGATAGTAGATACACCACCCCTCTCACTGCATCATGATTCATGTGAGAAAATAGACGCAGGTGTTCTTGGCAATGACGAGAAGACTCATAAGAAAGCATTTGCCTCAGTATTGAACAGATTTTGTTTTTAACAGGGTCATTATCAAAGAATTTGAAAATATTTAAGTGGAATTGATGTGAATAAAAAATTTACTGTAAAAGTAAATATATTTGAAGGAATGTATGCCATTCTTTCATCTTAAATATTAATATGCTTGTTGCTTTTTGCCACACATAATTGTATGAAATAAATGACAGAGATGATAGTGAAAGTTTCAATTTGAGTTAGGCTCAATTTAAAGTCACTGCTACCATAACTTTTAAATTCAGTTTTTCAACTGCAATGACAATGCAACATGTAGCACATGTATATATTTAGTACATAGGGCACAGTTTTTATTTCCAGACTTTAGCAGTGAGTGTGATATACTTTTTATGTTGTTACATAGTCTTCATAATATTCCTCTCTGTGAGTATTTGATGGATGAATGAATAAATGAATGAAAGAGAAGCAATAATGCAGGAAAATAAAAGAAATTCTGCAAAGTCAACATAGTATTTTTCATTGGCAGGAAGTTCTCAAAATACACCTTTTAATTTTAACACCTAAAGAGAATTCATGTGACTTATTGAAAAGGTTTGCCACCTTTTCTGGTTGGTGAACGGTCTTCCACATCAACACAGGTGACAGCTGATTTGTTTGTTTGGTTTTTAACTTTGGAAGAGAAGTTTGAGTGTTGGATAGCCCATAAAGTGGGAAGGAGACACAGCACCCACACCTACATTGCAGGCCATGATCAAGTTCTTCTTCTTAATAATGATGATGTTGGGGAAATGAGTAGATAAAATATTTACATCTATTTCTTTAGAGAGCCAGGTTATTAACACTCTGAAATGCTTCCTTCAACATTTCATTGGGTTTTACCCATGGTGAAATCCCCTCTAGCCACACAGATAGGCTGTATTTCAAGAGTTAAGCTCATTATTAAACACATGAATATCTTTCCTGATAAAAATTGTTCTGAAAGATAGTTGGGTTCCTACACTCATATCCAAAGCCTATTCATATTATAATGTGGCTGAAACACCTCATGTTTGCAAGGACACGTATTTGAAAATAATGCTGTGTAATATTAGTCATTAAGAGAGAAAAATAATGAGGTAAAATAAGAAGTATTTCCACTTGAAAGCAGGCACTTAAGAAATTTTAACCAGAAAAAGACAAGGAGATAGAATCTTATATTTATTTTCAAGGATGTTAGAGCTTGATCATACTAGTTTTTTATGATGTCTACTTTCAGTTGCTTTTTATTTTATTTAAATGAGGATAATTCGATGCATTTATCAATTAGAATGTAAGCTCTAGGAGCCCAGGGACTAGTCAATTTTATTTGTCAATATATCCCCAGCACCTAGGACAGTATCTGACATACAGCAGGTGCTCAATAAATATTGCATTCATTCATTCATTCATTTGATAATTCTGCAAATATTTATTGAGTGTCTACCATGTGCTTGCCACTGTAAAGAAGCTGGGGGCCGGCCCGATGGCTTGGTGGTTGAGTTCACACACTCCGCTTTGGCAGCCTGGGGTTCAAGGGTATGGATCCTGGGCGTGGACCTGCACACCACTCATATGGTGGTGTCCCATATACAAAACGGAGGAGGATTGGCACTGATGTTAGCTCAGTGGCAGTCTTCCTCAGGCAAAAAGAGGACGGTTGGCAATATGTTAGCTCAGGGCCAATCTTCCTCATCGCACACAAAAAAGATGGGAATATTTTTTAAAAAGTGAGAAAAACCAAAGTCTCTTATAGGAGAGAGAGAAACTCGCAAAAGAATCTCACTAAAGAATGTAAACATTTAAAATTAGCTAAGTGCTCCAAAGGAAAGAGTTACTCTGCTATGATTAGCACACATTTTTGGCTTAAAAATGCCATAAAGATGAAGGAGAAATGTAATTCTCCTGAGAAAACTGAGAGGCTGAGGGGCAGGAAGGCAGGAGATTATAAGAGTGTATGCAGGCAGAAGAGAATAAACTTTCCAGAGATGCGGTGAACCAAGCCGAGAGGACGCACAGACGGAGATGAAGAGCCAAGCACAGTCATGCACAGCACCCCTAGGAGGGGAAGGGGTGAAAGGATGGAAGTGTGGGGAGGAGGTGTTCTCCCCGGGCGCAAAGTGATGTTGTCCAGAGTGGTCAATGTGAGTGGAATGTGACGAGATGAGGCAGGCAAAATGCAGCTTCATGCCAATCCACAGGATGTTTCGTCCCTTGAAAGTTCCCGTGTTGAGTCTTGCTGAAAAGTTAATTTTATGGTTTAGACAAATAACTCTTGATTAATCAAATTATTTGTATAAGTGAGTTCTAGAAGACTAACTGGAAGGAGACAATTAAGGATATAAATGACACTATTTATTGACTAGAGACGGCCTCTGCCATCACAGCAGCGTTTCCTCCCACTATCTTCACCAGCCCAAACCTGCTTTCTCATCCCTGGAAACTGTGCCTTCCTTGCCTGCTGCTGTTCTGTTCAGACAGCTTGGCTGCGTCCCTGGCTCCAGGATGTCACCATCAGTTCTGCCATCTCTTTCACCCTTGTTCTCCATCGGTCTGTCAGAATGGCCTAGAGCCACACGGGCTTACACACTAGTCCACCCTGCAGAGCACAATGGAGCATCTTCCTGGAGGCATGAAAGGAAACTACATTTTTCCAGTAGCAGGGAAGGAATTAATAGTGACCTCTAGAGGCCTGGCATCTGGGACCTTGCTTGATTGATTCTGGTGGATACAGTCCAAGCTAGCATCATGGAATTCTATTTTGTTCTTTTGCTTTTTAAAAATTTTAACCCGAGTGTTATGTCCCTTTGAGGGACAGGACATGTTGTTTTCAAGGGAGTCAGAAAGATGCAGCCCTGTGTTGCAAAATAGTTATAAAAATATCTCCCGTACTTCCTGATTAGATGCATCACAGATGAGGAGATCTGCCTGTTCGTAAGATGCAGTCAAGGTTCAAAGAAGCGAGCACATAGCGAGATTTTTCTTCTGTTTTCAAATATACACACCATCTTCAATGCACACACACACCATCTTCAGAACTGAGAATTCTAGACACTTTTATTTGGGAAAACAATTTAGCCACAAGAGAGACTGAATCATATGGTTTCAAAGAATAACATACATTTGATTGTTTTAAATAGCCATCTGTCAGTCACAAGCACATGGAAATCATACGAACAGTACAGCCAAGAAAGCCCCCATATCTAAAATTTAAATACAAATAAGGCTTCCCATGTTGAATAAGTGCCAGAATAGGAGGAGTAAGAGTCTAGATAGCTTCTTTAGCATCTGAGCCCCAAGGTTTTAAAGGGGAACAGTAGTAACCTGTTCCCTACAAATCTTAAATGAAGCATAAATTAAACTCTGCAGATGCAATTATGTCACTCTATGGTCCAAAGCACCAGCTGTGTAGGCTCAAGAGTCATTTGGAGCACAGGCACAAGTTTGCCGGTCTGCCTCTACTCTCTTAGCTGTCTCTTAGCTGTCAGTCACACCAAGTGCTGTTTGTTTAAGTGCTGACATGTTTAAGATGTGGCTAAAGGCACAACTGTTCTCTTCCTCCACACTGCAGTATTGAAAAAACATTTTCAAACTTGTAGCCATTTTTGTTCATAGAAAACATACCTGATCACACTATTCTAATGTACTTCTGTAACAGAATTATTTTATTAGCGGGTCTGGAATATAAGAGGGAGGCAACAGAGAAAGTAATGGCTTACTACTTTTAAAAAAATGTGCTGTATGGAATATACTCATCAACGACAAAAGCTATCCCTAATGGGATAATACAAACATGTCTTCCTTAGGCATGTTCTGGAAAGCTTGGTGTTTTTATAGATTTCATTTCTCATCATCTTACTTTTTAAATTTCTTTCCGATAGATTGTTTTTGTTTTTCATTTTTCTCTACCCGGAAGTGGCTTTAAACATGTCAGCTCCTCCGGAAGTGGAGAAGAACGCCCGGTTGTCGCATTGAAGAGCACCTTGTGTGCTTCTGGGGCTGCATTTTCAGAGTGCTACTGACTACCTGCAGTGCAGGGCACCTGGGGCCAGGGTAAGTGCCATATGCAGGCGGAGAGATGGGAGGTATCAAACCTCTGCTTTCTAAATGAGGACTTGATGCTTTTGTCATGTTAAAGAGAGCAGACCTCTCCGGAGCTGCTTCCGGAGAAAACCGAAGTGGTAGCTGCAGTTTCCATACAGTAATTCTCCAAATTTTCATCTGTAACACATTTACTGTGTGCCATTTTAATCTTCAGTTTATCAAAATTTAATTTTGAGTTACTAATTTTCTTATGAGAAAATTGTGAACAATCCTCCTCAGATATGGCAGTATTGCTTCAGAGTCAAACGCCCATGCCAATAATTTGGGCTCCTCTTCACACCAGTCCCGAGCCAGTTGAGAGGCGCAGGGATTAGAGAGGTGGAGACAAGCGATGGGGATAGCGGGGCAAAGTGAGCGTTCCTGAAGGTTTGTCCCTAAAAAACAAACCCGAGTCAGTGTGTGCTCAGGAAGCCCTGGGCTGTGTGTATGTGTGCTTATCAACTAGGATTAAGATCTAATGAAGCCGACCAACTCTGGAAGGAACTTCCAATCTGCTCTAAAATGCTCTTCCTAAAAGATAAAAGATGTGAGGGCCCCTGAGTCTAAGCAGTCTAAGTCTGTACAAACACCCATCAGTGCTGTGTTTATCAGAGGTAGCAGGCGTTGGCTTACCGCAGCCTCATGAAACTCAATCTGCTTCCCTGGTCCTTCCTAGTAAATAAATGGCGTGTTGCAAGTAGCCGCAATTGTTCTATAATAAAAAAATGAAGTGCTACACCTTAAACAGACTTCAATACTATTACTTTATACATAGTCACTGTCAAATAAACTTGAAATAATTTTCTCTCGGAGACGAAATATCTAAATGCCCTATGTCTTTTCAGGCAGCTGAGGGTATCTGTTCTCTCCTCTTCCCTTTGGGGGAAATCAGCAGAGCACAGCTTTGACTGGGCTGAAAGAGCACTGAATCCAGGAAAGACCATCTGAATGAAAGTCCGACTCTGCCTGACACAAGTGCCCTTCCTTGGACAGCCCTATTGGCTCTTCCACAACGAGGAGTTCCCGTGGCTCAAGTAACAATTTCACGGATTCGAGGAAGATGTAAATATATTTCTGAAATGGATGTTCATGCTGCAGGGTAGTTTATACTCATGATATTAAAGATGTAATTTGGTTTTGGAATATACACTGTCTTAATTGGCTTAGAGATAGCTCCTATAATACCAGAAAGAAAGAATGAAGACCAGGGGAAAACATTTAATTGTTCACATCAATGTTCCTTTCCTTAGGATCACAAGAGAGAAAGTTTCTTTCTGGAGCACTTGCCTGGGAAATGAGAACAAGCCATCTGTTTGTGCCCATTTCCTGCCAGAGGGATGGCGCCCAGGTATGGAAGGTAAGTCCTGTAAAGTTATAATACAAAGTTATGGGTGGTGGGGACAGTGGACGGAGGTGGGAATTCAATTATTGTAAATAAACATCGTTGGGAGAAGCAGACTGGAACATTCAATTGTATAACAGGGGCAAAGGAAGCTTCATGTTTAAGGGAACTGGAATGCTCAGGGAGAGCAGAGGGTTAATTATGGAAAAGAAGTTGTGTTGCCATCTGCTCTATTTATTGAACAATTACCATGTGCTAGGTGCTGCCAGTTTTGGCTTCTACATTGGGGTCCCATCTTTCCTGCATATATTTTGTATTGTGGCATCTTCCATCAGTATCCACCACCGTAATTTCATAAACAAAAATTCAGGATTTTGGGCTTTTCCTAATCGTCCTATGGGAGCCCGTGGTGGGGAGTGTAAAAATCAGAACATAGATTGTAACCTGGGTCTGCCAGAGACCATAAAGCCTTGGAGCCATCATTGAATCTCTCTGGACCCTGATTTTCCTTGTCTGTAAAGTGAAGGGATTGGACGACACATATTGGCAATTCCCAAACTTCGGAGTTTCTGCAAGGGGTCCATGAGGCCACATGAACCAAGTCCTGTCTGTTGACTGTATTAATGACTACAAACATTTGTAATTCCCTTTTGCAAATGTGTTGAGACACACTACAATTAAGAAAATGCAAATTTACTTGTCATGAACTTATAAAAATTATGTATTTGCCCAATCCAAAGATGCTGAAAGCATGACCACCATCATGCAAGTGTCCATGAATAAATTAAGAAGAGGTCTTCATACTAGAAAACGTTGGGAACCACCCAACTAGGTGATGGAGATAACCTCTTAATATTGTTTCACTGATATTTTCCATTGTGTAAAGGAAAAATTCTCTTCTTTTTAGGTAAGAGTTGAAAGTGTTTTTCCTTCAATAACACTTCTAATCTTCAGCATACACATTCTAAATCAAGATCGCAAACTTTGAGACACTCTCAATGTACTTTCATTTGAATGGCAGTGTAGAGTTTCTGCCAGGCCAGTGACTGGCATTTTTGTCTAATGATATACATTTGGTAAGGCTCATTAGGTGGAATCTAAGATAGAGCAAAATGGCCCATTCAGGGATCTGATTTTGGTTTAAAAGCATTTTATTAGTTCCATGAAAAGAACAAATGGTAATGCAGTTATTGAAAAGTAAGTGACTTGATCACATCAAAATTGGACTTGATGGCAAAACTGGAAGAATGTAAATCTCTAGACTCAACATAAAGCAGATCCTGTTACTAGAGTGTACCATGTCTCAGCAGAAAATAGAATGAAATCCTGAAGTGGGTGCCCCAAAGATGAAGTATTCAAAGATGGGTTTGTCTGGGAGGTAAGTGACAACCATGTGCCTAACAATGACTCCTGAGCAATCCAGGATGAGTAGAGCAGACTTGGACCAATTTTCCTAATCAGTCACACGTGCCCATCAGAAACACACAGGCATATGAATAGGGATATGAATGGTGTTAAACTACATTTGTGACATTATTCTTTCAAACAACCTTTGTGTGTCTGGTGTGGTTTGGTGGCAGTTCAAGATGCCACACATGGCATCTTCATTTGTGGGGTTTTTTTTTCTTGGTGGAAAGAACAAATTGGTGGGTAGATTTCCTTCCATTTTTATGTTTCAGTGACGGCTCTCAAGTGATTTTCATTTAGTGTTACCAGATCCCATTTCTTTTTCAGATCAAAGCCCAACTGTGTGAGGAAGTAAAGACAGCTGTTATCAAACAGCCTCCAAGATGAGCAGACTACATTCCAACTATTGCCATTTCCTGGATCTCTACCTTAATTCCTGCCAAGTCTGTCCATAACAATACCCAGACACAAGGACTTTTTCCCTATTTATATTCAAAGCTACAGTAAAGTGAAGGTGTTTTCCAACAAAAACAAACACCAAAACACCCATGAACACCTTCTTTTTCATTTTTGTTCATGGTTAATTTCTACAAAATAATGCTCAAGACAGCATTACGTCTCCCCCTCCTGTGTAAATGGCATGTTTGACAGCATAAACTTTTAAAGCCCTTTCTGAACTTGATTCTCAAAAATGCTGTGTTGGTCATTGGAATAGAAACTTACTAATTTTCCCCCATCAGAAAGGATTAGGTAGTTTCATTTGAATAAAATAGTGCTGAGTCTCATCGGATATAGACCCATCTCCTTTGAGCTTCTATTCCGAAAGCTGTTTTCAACCTCTAGGAAATTCATGTTCAGGTCACTTTTAGGGGCTATAACAAGGAGAATGAGTCTTGATGATTTCTCTGCTTGAGTATGACAACCTCCCCTTTTAGCGTTAGGATTTAAGAGACAAGAGAATGGCAGTATCACCATATATATTACTGACTAAACAAAGAAGGTGAATTTGTAGCTGAAGGACTACTTTCAGGTTTCTAAATGGAGGCAGGAGAATTTTTATTTTCTGCTATGCACTGCCTCAACAACTGTATCGCTCTCCCTTCCCTGCATGAACTCAGACCGACACAAACTTATTTCTCATTTGTGCTTTTCCAGGCAATTATTATTGTTGCATATAAAATGAATGTTAAACATGTTTTCCTTTGCCTATAATCTGTCCCTCATGAAAAAAAAAAGATGTATGTGTCTTTAATGCTACTGAAAAAATGCCACTAAATGTCTTTTTGGTAGTTCCTCTCTGTCAATTAAAATCTCGACTTCGGGAAGCTGAGTTTGCAGTGATCATTTTAGAGAAGGCAATTCTGAATTTAGCTCAGAACTGCACACAAGAGAATGGATTGGGTGAGCCCTAGGAAATGATTTAGAAAAATCTTTTTTTTTTTCAATTAAAAAAAGTGTGGCAGTACTAGAGGCCAAAGATGCACACTCCACTTGTAGCACCATCTGGCTTCATCTATAAACGATTATCACTGCACAAGATAACCAGTCGTAAAAGATTGTGAAAATATTGTAAAAGATTGTTAAAGACTTAGAAAATCCATCAGAAGTGTCTCAGTATCCACCACTAAAGAACCAAATGAGAGAGAAACAGGCAGTCCTACTTAAAGACAGGGAAGATATTCACAGGCACTTGTACGATAATTTTACGAAGACTTTACGGAAAATTTTAAATTAGGATGATTAGTAATATGGATGGAAACCACTGAGACAATGGAAAATCAAAATATCACATAAAATTAGAAGTTGTTAATTTACTTCAAGGAAACATTTAATATTTTCCCCATATGATCCCATTAGGAATTCACATACCCAAATCCCTGTGGCTAAAGGAAAGGGCTGATTTTATGTTCATATGTTTAGAATTCTGATGAACTATCACTACTCCAAATACCCGAAAATGGGTACTTGTTAATTCTAATGCTTTTTCTTTTATCTCAAGAGTGTAGCACCTCTAAGAGTTCTGAATTTCACTTCGACATGACTATGCCAACATGTTACAAAGTGATAATAATTAACACGGTTTAGTACTGACACAAAGATAATGTTGTTAGAAGTGTGGGGCAAGGATGGTCTTTTAAGTAAATGGGACCGGGTCCACTGGACATCCATATGGAAAAAAGTGAATCTTGACTCCCCACCTCACACCATTCAAAAAAATATAATAATAAATTCCAGTAGACTAAAGAGCCAAATGTGAAAGGCAAAACAAAAAAACTTCTAAAAGGAATCAGCAGGCAAATATCTTCATAAACTTGGACAAACAAGTATTTCTTAAACAAAAAGTACTAAACGTAAAGGAAAGAACTGGTAAACTGGATTACACTAAAATGGAATGTCTGTTCATCAAGCACACTGGTTAAGAGAGTAAAAAGGTGGCCACAGTCTATGAGAAGACACATGCCACACACATAGCTGATAAAGGTCTCATATCCAAAATATAACTGCAAATCAAAAAGAAAAACACAACCTCAACAGAAGAAATGGCAAGATACTTGAATGGGCATTTCACAAAAGATGATATGCAAATTGCCAATATTGAAAAAGTGGTCAAGCTCATTAATTATCAGGAAAATGCAAATTAAAGCTAAAATCCATCAGAAAGACCAAAATTAAAAAGACTGACGATACGAGGTGTGGCTAAGGTGTCGAGCAACTGCGATTCCATACACTGCTGGTGGGGGTGTAGACTGGCACAGGTGCTTTGAAAGTCAGTTTTGTGGAATCTACTAAAGCTGGACATATGCTCACCCTGTAACCCAGCAGCTCCATTCCTAGGTAGACATCCAGCAGAAATGTGTACAGATATTCACCAAAGAACATATACAAAAATGTGTGCAGCAGCACTATGCATAATAGCCAAACGCCCATCAACAGTAAAATGGATTACAATGTTGTAGTCTACCCACATGATGGATTATACAGCTGGGAGGAGAAACTTGAGCTGCATGCGACCATATCAATGAATTTCACAATTGTAATGTTGAATGGAGGAGGCCAGGAGGAAGAGCATATACTGTATGATTCCAAATATACAAAGTAAAAAAAAAAATGCACAAAATTAGAAAACAAGAGAAAGGTTACTTTTGCTGGGGATTATGACTAGAATGGAGAAGGGAGCTTCTGGGTGCTATCTTTGGGGTGCTTCTTTCTTTAGGTGCTAGGTACAGGATGTGTTCACTTTGTAAAAATTCTTTGATAGGTACATTTTTGACGTGTATGTCATTAAAAACAGAGAATATGCCTGATCCATTAATTGGTGAGACAAAGGAAAAGGAAGGAAGGCAGGCAGGCAGGCAGGAAGGGGAAAGAAGAAGAAAGAACAGAAAAGAAAGAAAATAGGACAGTTGGGGTGAATGTAAAATAAGTGAAATGATCTAGAGAACTGATCTTAAAAGTCCTCATCACAAGAAAACAAACTGTATGTGAGGTGACGGATGTTAACTAAACTAACTGTAATCATTTTGCAATACATGCATATATCAAATCATTATGTTTACACCTAAAACTAGTATTATGTCGTATGCCAATTATGTATCAGTAAAACTGGAAAAATAATTTTTAAAAAAGGGAAATGACAAGGTAGCTGGTTAATGTGTTTCCTTCTCTCAGTACAGCCAGGTCTTTGGGCGAATACGGAACTAAATTCGGTTCCCAGGTTCCTCCTTAAACAGAGAAGCTGAGACTACTTTCCTTGGTTACAAAGTCAGATTTTTGTTGAATTTTATGGAACTGAACAGAGGGGATCTGGCCACCATGCCAGTAAAAAAAAGTTAATGAGGAAAAGATCGTGGCTTATGCTGCACCGTGATTAACTCCAGATTTTGAAAATGATCTTCAAACCAAAGAGAATGAGGCAAACAATTCCAAGATTTGGAGGAAACCAACTCAAAAACAACTAATTTTCTACAGAGTGGCTATTAAAATAGAAGCTGATGAGACCAGAAAGCAAGTGCCAATTCGTCAAGGCCATGGCTTCCTAGGGTTTAGCTAACAAAAACCTGAGAAAAGAGCACATAATGGAACTGTTAAAATGAGACTGGAAGAAACAACCCCTCCAATGGTAATATGTTAACTCCTCAACATGAAATCTTCAAGTGGACAATGGAAACTCACAGCTGTTTTTCTCAACAAGAGGAAAGAGCAAAACTACTGTCCTTCAGTCTCTTCCCTTCTACCCCCTCTGCATCAAATTGTTTGAGTGAATTTGAATGCTGCGGTATTAATGGAAGAACAATGCCCAGCTTAAAAACAAAGGCTCTTACTACAATGCATCCTGGAAAAACCTTAAAATAATAGACACATTAAGGAATTTACTAAATCCTTCCCCAACAGCACACACCATTTTAAAGAATGCTTGTTATTTGAATATCTTAGAACCTAAATACCTTACCTATTACATGAAAAATAGCATATAAGAAAAAAAAAAAACGCTGCTGCCTGTTACATTTAGCCTAAAAGAATTTTAAACCAAGCTCTAATTATCATAATTATACTCAATTACAAGAACTTGAGAGTTCTCACTCAGCATATTAATTGAAATGGCATGATAATAAAACTGCTTGTTCTTTTAGATTTCAGCCAAATCTTCAATATTGAGGATGTGCTCAGGATTCTGAGAAGTCATGGTCCTGGTGCTTTGGCATTACAGACACACCCCATAACCGCAGGGGTATCAACGAAGGTGTTTAAGCTTGAGCTGAAGTCTTACATCTGAGTACTGGGTCTAAGTTACTATTCCAAGAGTGTGAAATACAAAACTGTCACCAGTCTATTAGAGAGGAACTTTCCCATGTTCCTTTCCTGCCCTGTGGTAGATGGAAGTCCAAGTCAAGAGTATCTGCATCAACCACACAGCAAACTTGTCAACTATCATTACCTGGTTACTTTTTTCAAGCACAACGTCTGTTAGTCTAGACCTACAAGTCACTCACTTCAAGGGCCGGGCAACTGAGTGGTGGTTGGAAACAAGTTGGGGCCATGTGGCCACGTCGGGATGCACAGGAATTCTGGAGTGCCACCAAGAGTTTAATTCCCCATTGCACAACAGTGACAGAAATTCAAAGCTAAAGAAGTATTGGTTGCTCACTCACTACAATAGGGCAATGCCACAGTTAGTTTATCAGCAAGGTCTAGCCAGGCATTGGAGGCGGGTGGGCAGCACTGGCAGGTCCAGGCACCAATGCCATGTGCAGCTACAGAGGAGCACCAAGTCAGCTCCGATCCGCTCGGGTGTGCATCAGAATCAGCTCCTGGAGGACTTGCTAAGACAGATGGCTATGTGTAGCCACAGAGACGCTCCAGTAGTTTTCTTGGTGGTTCTCAAAATTTTAAGGTGCCTGATCACTTGGAGATTTTCTTCAAAGTGTCTATTTTCACACTATTCTAAGATTTTGATTCAGTTGGGAAGGGGTATGGTCCAGGAATCTGCACGGGGTTTTTATAAAACAAGCTTTCCTTGTGGTTTTGACTCAGGTTGACTTGGCGACATTACGGAAACACTGCCCTATAGCGGGTCACCTGGAGCATGGTGGCTCTCTCCTCACTTCCTGTGTGGTCAAGTTATCACTGCTCTCCCCAGGGATGAAAGTGAGGGGCTTCCAAAAAGACAACAGCTGCCTCTGAAGGGCAGTCAACTCTAACCTCAGGACTGAAAACCAGGGTTTAATATTCTATTTCTGAGCTGAAAATCTCTAAATAATTGCTCTCAGCTTGCTCCCCATGGAAAAGCAAGGAGGCATTACCATGTACATTTGAAGCACTAAGACTCACTTCCACTTGTATTGTTCAGGATGTTTACCCCACTGGCTAGCTTGCTTTAGCGAACTCTAAAGAGGCAAATTTCACCCTGGTACATAAACAGGTTCAGAAAACTTTGCTAAAGTTCAGAAAACCTTTTCCAGCAAGTAAACTCACAACCCACCTAGAATGAATTTCATGACCAGAAATTATCAAAGATTTTGGTGACAAGACTATATGTGATGGATGTATATGCAAAAATATTCTTATTTAAAACTACTTTGTAGAGATGTTTTTAAATCTTTGAAGAACACCTACCATGAAGTTTGAGATTAAATAGTTTCTGTTTTGGAAATAAAACTTTGGAAAATATCTTGTTGCCAACTGCTGTTATTGCTAATTATCAAGACAAACAATCTGCAAATAAGGTACTTGGGAAAATTTAAGAAGTAGATCCATGGAATATTGGCCCTCTCCTTCCTGGACTTAAACTTCCATTCAGGAAACAATCCAATGATGATCAGTAGTGGACAGGATAAATACAGTAAAGTGCATCCATAAATGCAAGACCATGCCACTGTTAAAAGAACGAAGAGTGAAAAAGGCAAGGTAAACAACAAAGTCTACAACATATTAGCTTTTATCTACTAAAGCAGCAAGAAGGTAAGAATCCATATTTTCATTTCCTCTTGTAAGCATATGCATAAAGTAATGCAAAAGTAACTGAAAACAATGGTTAACTTTGGGCAGGGCACGGGAACTGAGCAGAGGGGTGATTGATGAGATGGAGTACTTCTAGTATATATCATTTTTTACCTATTTGTATGTTGGACAATGTGAATGTATTACATATTTTTTTTTAAAAAAGTTTTTAAAAAACACCTCTCAGTTCCAAATTCCTACTCACCTATTTCAGGAACTGTCAATCTACCGCTGTACATCCACGCTAGAGAAGACTAAAAGAAAGGAATTGTGTCCCCCACCTACTCCAATAAACACAAAGGCTTCTGAAAATGTCTTTATGGGACCAATTTTTTTAAGTACAAAAATTAAAAGAAAAGCCCCAGAAAATACTTTCAGTGAATGTTTCCGGTTTATAAAAGATAAGTGAAATTACACAGAGAACATAGAATGTTCGGATTGGAAAGCCTTTCTGTGCAACGATACAATGACACACAACATAAGAAAATAGCTTAAAATACAAAAATACAGTTGTGATCCAGGAAATGGCACCAAATTAGAACAGTTTTATTATTTAACATATCAATGTATATACATTATCCTCCCAAATAAGAAACAATTTGGTTCCAAAGTTTAAATGTAGTTTCCAAAATGAATCCTTACTGTAAATTTGAAAAAAAAAAAAGTCCTGCAAATGAACACAAACAATTTTGATCCTTGACTAAAATATGCACCCTGTACCAATCACCTCTCTCATACAAAATGAATAGTATAAATAAAACTTTCTAAAAAGATCTTGGATGTTTATTGCACATCGTACAGAACGCTTGCCACTATCAGAAAGGCTTTCAGCCCTTCACTGTATTAGCTGTTTCAAATATTTACTCAAATTTGGGTGAAAACAACACTCTGCAGATATTAGCATATGTAGGATCATATATGATGTTTACCAGAAACAGGAAAATAGAATCTTACTGGACTGTTTCCATCACTTTCTAAAATAAGACTGACTCTGTTTTCTACTGTTAAAAGCAATTACAAGAGATCTGACCAAATTAAAAGTCCCCTTCAAATGTCAGTTTTCTCTTTTCAAATAGAAACCACATGTAGAGGCATTTTACTCAGTCATATATTTCTACTTCCTAGGACCAGCCCTTCTTGAAGTATAAATTGCTAAAGATCATACTACAGGATTCCTAAGAATGCTGTCCGTAAGCAGCAGCTACTGTTTTGGTCTCCCCATTTTCAAACTCTCTTTGCTCTAGTAAAGCCAGCACAAACCAGCCAGGATGCAACGGCCTTAAAAACAAAAAAAAGTTCCTATTAAATCTTCATACCATCTAGCACAGTGCCTAGCACAGAGTAGGCATTCAATAAATATGTGATGACTGAATGCACTGTCTTTTAAGACCGTTTCCTATAGTTAGATGTATTAATGATTTATGAGTAATACGTTGATTTAGGGTACACAGACCTAACACGATCACTAAACAAAGAACACACAGGACATGGCACAGACGCTGTTAGTTTCTACAATCCTGCCCCAGGACAGAATGTGTACTAAGGGGTTAAAACTATTCCAATAATAAAAATTGATTAGTCAAATATTTTTATTTTGCCAAGGGACTCTAACAGTATTAGCCTTCAGCAATTCCCAAACGTACAATGAACCCCAAACAAAACAAAACCAAATTGCACTATAACAAAGACACGAGTCCGTGAAAGCAGACAGGAGGTGCCAGCTACGGAACCGCAACTTCAAGGAGCCGGTTGTTTTTTCGTTTGCACGTTGGGACACTCCCATTTTTCTGGTTGCCCTGAATAAACTTCACACATACTTTGTCCTGTCTGAACTGCACCAGGAACCTAGG